TGTAGGCTTTTATGAATATATGTGAAAGATTATGAGTCACATCAAACCCTATATATATATGTATATATATATATATATATATATATTGTTTTCCTTGTTTATACATCAAAGCACACTTTGTATACTAGCCTGTGCTCCATAAGTCCTTCAAAGAGTTTGGAGTGAATGACAGTGGCGTATACTACCTTCAGTGGCTGGACAGATAAACTTCTTCCTCTTTCAACAATCAATTAGTCATATTTTGTACTCATGTATGCAATGTCATCCATTTTGGGTTCAGAAATCTATCATCACTAAAAAATTACAGCTATGAGTAGGGAGTTAGTTTCGTACAACTTTAGAAGTGGTCTTGCAAATGACCTAATCCCACATTTTCTGTTGAATCATGAGGATACTGAGGCTACAAACAGAAACTTGCTTAGTGATACCAATAACAGCAAGCAGAAGGGCAGCCAGAGCCACATAATCACTCAGTCCTATCTCAGTCATCCACTGGATGTTACACTATTCACTTCTGTATGTTCTGTTTGTGTATTTCTGACTGAAAATCCCATAGGTTTCAACACAGTATCCTCTGATGGATTCAGTGTTCTTAAACCAAGTTTTGATGAACTGTAATTTCTGCCTTTGGGTTGACAAAATTTTTACTCCTAAATATCAGTTGCTTTTTTTCAATGATGCCAATTATGAATAACACTCAGTTAATCAGTTTTGAAAGGGTTTTAATTACATTCTAGAAATTAAAACTTATTTTGAAACAAGATTTCTTTAACGCCAATAGAAATATAAATGTATTGCTACTTCAGGAATTGTGATAGAGAGTACGTTGTGGCACCTTTTTAGCCCAATCACTCTTCAAGCAGTTGCTAAATGAAGTAAAAGCAGTACGGTTTTTAAAATTCAAAGATAGGATTTATATTTTATTTGAGTCAGTTCTGACTTTGCATGATACCATCAAATGCTTCAGCCCCTATTCTGTATTCAACAATGTTAATAATAGTTCTCAGTAGATACTAATGAAACATAATACTTTTAGGATAATATTTGCCCTGTCAGATCTGTCTAATTTGTAGTGCTTGTTCACCATTGTTGAGTTAGTTAATTCCTTGGAGAAAAACTAAGCTCAGGGAATGTAAATAAGTATATTCTAGAGAGTAGTAGACAGGGTGTTCTGCTGGTTTGCCTTTGAGTTTGATTTATACTCTTAAGCATTCACATTTTTTGATCATATACCCTTTGAATACATAAGTTGACAAATATAATTTTTCATTAGAAGGTTCTAGTAAGTAAAAATTATGATGATTTCTAACATTAGGAACATGTGTAGTAGCAAAACTATAACATCCCTTGTAAATACTCAATGGAATCCAATTAGCAGGAATATCTGATACCTACATCATACATTTCAAATGTGTACTGCAATAGCAGTAGATGTTTTGAAAACATAATGGGACAATAAACTTTTAACTATTAAACATTTCTATTGGATTGAATAGTTAATATGATTTTGCACAAAATTAATTCAGTTACTGTTAATATGTTATAATTTTCATAAATAATAAACACAAAAGTAGAATTCGTTGAAATATATCACTTGACAAAGTAGAAGGAGGTCATACTGACTATCTGGAACAAGTCCCATGTAGTTACTATACTTTGTGAGAAGTCCTTTTCTATCATCTTATACATTCTAATATCAACACTACTGACATCAATGACAGTCTGTGTCTTCTGCTCATGATGCCAATCACACTGTCTCTTTTAGTGACTGAGGACGGATGGTCCATCAGCATATCACCTAATACTGAATCGAGCGCAGAATTGCAGTTCTTCCTTTTACCAACTAAATGACTTTGGGAACTCATGCTTTACTCATGTGTGTATATGCAGATACATTGCTGTGTACACACATGTCTCTTTGATAGTGGGAACAATTAGTGTCTACCCATGAAAAAGAAGGGAATTTTTATTAGCAAAAAATATTTATGGAACACTGACCATAAATCAAAGGTTTTGGGGGGAAGGGGTTTGGATTACTTTTTAGGATTTGTTTTTATTCATGCATTTGTGTCTGTGTGTGTGAACATGTGTATTTGATTGCCCGCGGAGGCCAGAAGAGGGCATCAGATCCCCTGGTGCTGCAGTTTCACAAAATTGTGGGTGCTGGTAACTGAACTCTGGTCTGCTGAAAGATCAGGGAGTAAAAAAACCACTGAGCCATCTCTGCAGCTGGAGAGATTTTTATTGGACAAAGAGATAAAAGTGGTTTCTAAAGATTTCCCCTGCAAAGGATTTATGAAATGTGAAGAATAATAGTTCAATTTAGAAAATAAACCTAATGCCTGATACAAAGAAAAGCAAAAAGCCTATACATGGAAGTTACCCTATGTATCAAGAAAAAGAGGAAGCACAGATGGGAAAAAAGAATTAATCATAGCTTAAATTATTATTTAAATGAATATTGTTGCATGCAATGGGGCTAAGGTACCGATATTAGAATTCAGATTAAAAATATCTTTGCCTTTCTAAGAACTGTTGTAAAATTCATTAAATACAAGCTAGTAATCTGAGTTCATTACTAGACATTTTTGCTGACATCATCTGACCTGAACTGTTGCATTGGCAGAAAAAGATACAGTTCTTTTAGTGTATGGAATTGTTTGCAATATACTGTGTATATTTCAAATTGTTCTCTTGTATTCATGCTTGCTTGTTTTCTCCCTAGTAATTATTAATTGAATCAGAAACAGCAGGAAAATCGAGAAGTTGAAGATGGACTTTGGTGTTTTGGGACACTCAGAAGAGAGGACAGTTGCTCTTACATGTATTGTTTTGTTATATACTTTCTATCTTTGTAATTACATACCCAGTTCAATTCCACAATTATGCAGTGTGTTTAGCCCTCATCCCCACCAGTGTTAGAGTGCATTTGAAAATTCAAGGTTAATACTTACATCTTTTCAAATATTTAGTATCATGCATTCAGCAATCAAGTTCCCAGAATCAGTACGATTGTTCCCAAATTAATGTAAAAATCCTTAAATATGGTAGAACTTTAGGCCATAAATAATGTCTTGTAATAACACTTTCTTTGTTTGATCAGGAATGGGACCCGAATTTGATTTTAGCTAGCATAGTTATTCGGAGTTGCTTGAGGCTTGGGTGAAAGAAGGCTGAGTGGATAAAGTGCTTACTGTGCAAGCAGGAGGAACTAATTTGGATCCATAGCACTCATGTAAATACCCAGTATGGCAGGAAAATTCTGTAACCCCAGAGTTTGAAGGGGGAGACATTCTTAGGGTTTGCTGACCAGCCAATCTATCCTAAACCTTGAAAGTCCCAGGCTCATTGAAAGACCCTGTCTCAAAAATATAAGATGATTAATCCCAGCACTTGCGAGGCAGAGTCAGGCAGATCTATGTAAGTTCAACGCTAGCCTGGTCTATGTAGTGAGTTCCAGGCCAGGCAGGGCTGTAGGAAGACCCTGTCTCAAAAAGACCAGGAAAAAAAAAAGATGAAGGAGCAGTTGAGGAAGACATCCAGATATCAGTCTCTGGCCTTCAAACACACCTGCATAGGCAAACTCAGTGACACACTCTCTCACACACATATACACAGAGTTCCTCAAGTAATTTTTAGACATTTTACAAATACCGAATATGGAATTAATCTTATTATATATTATATATTAATATGCATTGATAATACCTTATATCAATATATATTGTGTACAGTATATAACACATTTCGTTATAATATTTTCATACATTCATACGACATGCTTTGATCATATTCACCCCATGTAGTACCCTTCCTTATGCTCTTCTCTCTTCCTTCTACATCCCAAGTAGTTCCCTCTTGTTTCCATGCCCCTCCCCTATAAATTCCACATATGAAAAAAAGTGATGTTTGTCTTTCTGAGCCTGTCTTAACTTTGTTTGAGAGGATAGTCTCAAATTGTATTTATTTTCCCACAGGTGACATAATTTATTTTTTTATGGCTGTATAAAACTATTGTGTATATGTGCCACATTTTCTATATCTACGGAATGATTTATTTTTATGAAGAGTCCTGTTCTGAATTTGGCTTTCATTAAATATCTTTCCAGATTAAAAAAAAAAAAATCTAGTACTCTGAAATACACTCTTAAGGAGCAAATGCAGTGATGTGTTGGGGAAAAGAACATTTTAGTTCTCTCTCTTCTTTATTAAATTCCTTTGTCATTATAGTACTGCAATGTAAGTAAGGCCTTTCTTTCAGTGATAAGACTTTATCTTTGGGCATACGCCTTTGGAAATTCTGTCAAACTATAGTATTTCATTTGTCTGAAGGACTTTTTGTACCTGATATTCTGTAACCTAAACACTCTCCAAGGTCTAAGCACATGAATTTATACATGCAAAGAAATTTGGAATTCCTGAGAATATTATATAAAGACTTTTGACTCCCATTTTATGGACTTGAAAGTGTATGTATGATTCAAACTAAACCAGCAGTGTTCCCACAAAAGACTTTTAGGAAACCCTGTAGTGAATAGCCAATTTGTTGTTAACTTATGAGTAAAGTGTGTATAAATTAATTCTTCTTTCTGAAGAATTAGAAGTATGTTCTCTTGGGTTAATATTTTACTTTGAGTGATTGGGGTGTGTGTGTGTGTTTAAGACAGAGTCTCAGCATGCATGTGTATATAGCCCATGACTCCAAAATCAAACTTGTGGTCTTCCTACCTCTGCCTCTGGTTCCTCCATGCTTGGATTCACCACTGCACTGTGAAGTGCTGAAAATATATTGTTTTGTGTTTATGATTACTTAACAATTTAATTATTGTATAATGTGACACGGTAATTTTAACTGTCCCCTCATTACCAGATTGTACACCCGTTGAGCACTGTGATTTGCTCAATTGCTGTTGCCCATGACACTAGCTTACTGGTTAGAATAGGAGCAAAAACAGAGTTATGATTAGCAGAAAGTCAGATTGTTGTTTGTTTGTTTGCAGATTTGGTGCATTTGACTTGCATGTCTTCTAAAACAGCAAGAGAAGATTTAGAACCAGTTGTACAGAAATTGTTTACTCCATATACAGAAACTGAAGCAGGTAAGAAAAATCGATCATTTGTAATGGAAATCTGATGTAACATCATACTCCTCTCGGGTATATTGTGAGACTTTAACCTGAATTGAAATCTGTATTCAATAACAGCTTTCACATATTTACTGAGGTGATGGAAATCATTGTGCTTTAATATGGGGAAAATGTTCATTCTCTAATGTTAAATGCAAAAAAAATCACACAAGTATAATTGTCAAAGGATGCATTTATATGCATACACACATCATCAGAAAAAGGACTGTTAGGAAATTTCTCAACTAATTTTGATAGGATTGTGGGTAGTTTTTTAATAATTAGGTTATTTTGCAGGGCTTTAATCAGAAACTTATATTTCTTTATCAGAAAAATTTCCTTTAAGAGAAAATGTTTATTCAACTTACAGAAAATTGAAATGTTAATTGGCAAGTGTATAAGTCCTGCCTATTAGTTATCTTTAAATGCTACTTATGTGCCAGATGCTTAGCTCTCTAAAGTATGCATAATTCTTACTCATGGTGAAAAAATACTTTTCCACTGTGAATTTTAAAAAATTTTCTACCATGTAGTAGAGTACATGTAGCATCTGTTAATGGAACAAATATGTCATATTTTGTATGTAAATGATAAAAAATAGCCTGGTAGATCTTCTTTATTTATGTGAAGCAATGGTAATTTTCGTTATGTAGCATATGTAGGTAGGTTCACGTGAGTATTGTTAACTTTCTTCTGTGGTTATAGCTTCATTTTCTTTAAATGATACATTTGTTCAGATAGCCATTTGTTTTTGGTACCCACTGTTCTGTTTCTTTTTATCTCCAGAATCTTGTCTACTTTCTTAATGTGAAATGCTAGAGAGGGGCACGTTTACATGTAGGATAGCATGTTCCATTTTCAGCAACTAATGTAAATACAGTTCCTTTGTGGAAATTCCAAGGTGAATAAATTCCTCCAATCTAAAAAGACTTCACTTCAGTTTTGTTGATATATATTTTCATTTGAAATTATCATATAAATGGTTGAGTAATTGTTACAGTTTTATTGTAAGCATGATAATGTTGTGTGATAGTTTTCTCTTTTGGATATAGTTGAATTTTTATCTTTTTCATAAAATCCATGAATTTCGTTTTTATTTCTGAAATTTTTCAGTGTCTGTATTTTAGTTTAGTGTGTAACAGTGTCAAATAATATGCTAATAATATTATTATTCTCCACTTTTTGAATGCATTTATTTTCTAGTTTGCAATATCAAGCTGGCAGGAATTACATGTTCATTAACTAGCGTCCGTTAGCCATTTTAGATTTTTAAGATTAATCTTAATGGTTAAAGTGATCCCATTTTGAAATAATGTATTGTTTGGAACCTGAGTGAAATTCCTTAGCAAGAAGTATGCTCAGAGGGGTCCTCAGGTGCACCGAGGCACTGAAAAGCTAGTTTTCACTGACACATAGGCCTTTTTATCATCAGGATGAGGTAGTGGTCATATTTTAATTAAAATGTCAGAACAAATACTGTTGGAGTTATTGAAAATGAATCACCAGATAAAGTGAGCACTGGGCCATGGCAGGTCAAAGAGGCAAAGTCACCTGCAGAAGAGAACTCAATTCATTTTCCTGCCTAAATGAAGAAGAAGGAACTTTATGAGCAATATGAATGTCTTAATACTTTAAAACACATTTTCTTCTCTGGCAGAAGCCTACATTTTTCAGAAATTGGTGGCCTTTATGTGTTGATTATTTGACAATCATATGAAACTTTGTGTTTTAGATCATTGTAATCATTGTAAGTATTTTATACTGAAATATATACTTTTAGATAGTATTAGACCTTATTTTTCTTTGCATTTGAAGTATGCATTCTCTGTGGTGCTGCACATCATAAACCTTTGTAAAAATCAGTTTAGTCACCTATAAGGAAGCTCATTTCTTTAAAAAGTTGTTATTCTCTTTACCACTATAGTACTGATTGGCATTGTTTGTAACAAATTCTAGTTTGGCTCTGAAGATAGTGCCTCTCTTATCTTTGAATTTCACAGATACTAGCCATAGCTCTTGAGATATGCCCTGTCTAAAGACAGATTTCCACTAATGCTTCCAAGAGTTCTACCCATCAGGCTCCTTTAAGGACATCAAATATCTCTAATCCGTTTCCTAGTTTCTAGTCCATAGAAATATGAGGTGTTTTATGCTTAATGTGCCTCATTCTGTATGAAGATCAGAAAAGGAGGTGATTGCTAAGCATTCATATATGCATTTATTCTTGTAGACTAGATCCTTGAAAACACTAAGCAACAATAAAGTGAATAATACATGCTAGTCTCGCTGGCAAAACTATGCTGAGTTATTTTAGTCAGAAAACTAAGATTTTTCAGTACAAGTTGAAGCAAGAATTTCATTAGTACCGTATATTTAAAATGTCTAAAATGTAGTATTAATACAAAATCATCTTTCTTTTTTTCCCTCTATTCTATCTTGTTTGTAGAGTTACCTCATTCCATTTCATTCATTTCTGTGTCAAATAGCAATGCTTGCTAAAAACAAATTCCCTTCATAGATGAAGTGTGCATTTGATAGCTAGTAAGGATGTTAAATACTTCTTAATTCCCTGCTTTTTAAAATTTCATTTTAATTTGTTCTGCCCAGACTTAGTTAGGGGTATTGTACCTTAGAACTCAACTTAATAAATGAGCTTACTTGTTCCTCACACATGGCAGACAACTGTAGACAATTCTTTGCTTTTATTTGGATTGCCTTCATTGGTTTATTCAGTATATACTTGAGTTTAATTAGCACTAAATCATATTTTAAATCTCCTATTACTTCCTTAGTCCATCACACCATCCTACTGCATAAAATAAGCTACAGCTCATTTCTCCCCTCTAGCACCTTGTGATACACACCCAGACAAAGCAGAGCAACTCTCATTTTTGACAGTTGTTTGCTTCATAGTGCATATTGTATTGTTTTTGCAGCTATCTTTCTGCCTTTAGATGACCGCCAAGAAATATGAGGCAATTCCATGTGTCTTTGAAGGTTTTAGGGTCAAAGCTTGATGGCACCCTTGTAGTCAGACTATTGATCTTCAGCCTGTGTTAATTTTCACCTTCCATATGGTTTCTTGTCAAAGCTTCAAACTCTGTGAAATCTCTTTCCTAAAATCTGTGGGATTATTCATTCCCCCTAACTTTTATTGAGTGAAAGCCATCCTCTGAATGGAACTTTTATGATCTCCAAGATAGGCTTGCCTAGGCATATGCCTAAGTATGAGCTGGGCCCTTCTTAACACCTTCCTCCACACCTAAGCCCACTTCCCTGCAGTGCTTCCCAAGTGTGGTACCATAAGTCATAGATGGCGCTTTTAAGTAAATTCTCATACAATTTAATAAAGCTAAACTCATTTGTTTAAAAAAACTCTATGGTTTTAAATGAGAAATACCAGCTCATTATGTTCTTTCGTCAATAAACCAGTTCTGCCACCTATCATATGCCTAGGTGAATTACTGGTACCTTGTACTCAGATCTTAGCATTAGAAAGAAACCCTTGATGAGATCACTTCTTCCACTCAGTCTCTTTATCGTATCACACTAATAATTATGAATTATTCAGAATTAACTAGAAAAATGGCATACTTACTATTTCTATGGTATAGATATTTTAAGTAAAATATAAAATTAATTTATCCTGAAGTGAGGACTAAAGCATTTTATTAATTGAATAGCATATTTAGTTTGAATTTTCTCTATGTTGATTACTAATTCTATAATAACAATAATTAGATATGTAATTATACCTATAGTGTTTTCCTTATGGTTCACAAGGTACCTCACAGAATTGGATAACTGTCATAAACATTCCTTATTGTACAGAATTTGACTCTTTGTCAGAATCGGGCTAGAGAAAACAGTATAGTCAATAAATATATTAAAAACAGTATTTTGTCTTCAGCCAAAGAAAATTTAATTATAGCATTTTTTTCTTTTTTTTTAATTAGAAGAAGCATTTCATTACAATAGCATTAACCTATTCAACATACTCCAGAGCAAGAGTACATCTCTTTCACAAGTGGGTGCAAGTTTCTAGGTATTTTTTATGAG